CCACTCTGTACATGAATCATTTGCCTAACTTCATTAAAGAATGTAGGTTATTCATATATGCAGACAATACTTCCATAGAGGTCATAGGGATCTTTCCAACTGACAATTTCATTTGAGATTTTTTTTTTCATGAAATACAAATCAATTCAAAGAACTGAGATTATAAAAAAAAGGAAAGAAGAAAAAAAAATCACACCAAAGGTGTTGCTTCGTTCGCTCCTGTTTATAAAAGAGGACATATGCCTCATTGCTCACAAGTGATTTTGGCGAAATTGGGAACACGTGTGAATCGTTGTATTCCTGCCACGTGCCACTATATGGGTGTCTGCAATATGCTGTGTAATGTCCGTTGTAAGTAGTCCCACTGTGATTTGAAAGTGCATATAGATTATAATGACAAGGAGCCACATTGTCTGCTGCATAACTCCTCATATCTAATCCATCTGAAGAAAAGTCACAAACTCACTTGGCCAGATCTTTTTGGTATGGGAAGGGACAAATCCCAGAAATGATCAAAGGTTACTGATGAGTGTCCACAGTGTGTGCACTTCATAGTGGATTTTAATTGACCAACGAAATAATCTACAATCTTGGAGTTGTTCATATTCAAATATCTCTGCCAGAACTCTTGTGCTTTTCCGTTATCGCTCAATTTTTCGTCAATCTCAGTTAAGATCAGTTCAGGTTTCTCAGTAATTTTGTTGAGGTCCTCATATGAACCTTCTAAAAGATATCGAAGGAATTCGTGGGCGTCTTGATGGGCAGAACCCATGTATCGAGGGGCAAATCTTTGAATCTGATTTTTGAAGTAGACTGTAGATTTTGCACTTTGGTGGACTTGGTTTCAAATCAGACACTAGAGTATCTGCAAGAAAGAAAACACGAATAACTCTAATTGGCACAAAAAGACAAAATATTGATTCGTGAAACATTGTGCATATCAATGAGATACCAGGACTTCTAGGAGCTCAGCCAGCAAAATATGAAATTAAAATTCAAAGCTACGCTGTCTACAGAACAGAATTGAAGACTCCTTATTATCCTATGGATTGTATACGTGTACATAATACTTCCTTCATGAATGCAGCTATACACAATCAGTAAATTATATCTCTTCCTTCCTCCTGCCTTATTCGGTGCACGGGGAATTATTATTCTGTTTTGAAATTCCATATAATGTCCCTGCATAAACATAACACTGAAAGCGGATTGTTGTGTATTTCAGAAGATAAAATTCAATGGCATGTCGGGATTTTATTACTGCTACGATTTCCTGCGAGTAAATGATCGAATAAGAGATGCGGTTAGCGACAGAGAAAACATGTTTTGGATGTGGGCGACGACGTCAAATTCGATCGGCTCGACAGTCGTTGAATGGGTCATTTAGGCAATGGTGCGTTACGAAATGGCGAATGGAAGTTGATAGAAAATAGCTAAAAAGGTTTTTTTCCCTGAAGAATGTTTGGTGGGAGCATGAGGGGTTGTTATTTTATTTCTTTCATTTCATTTCCCCCACATCACACATTTCATTCTAACGTATCTAACGAAGTGGACAGTATAGTCGAAGTAACTGGTATTGTAAATAGTTAAAGGTGTTGGCGCCCTCAAAGGCCAAAAAAACCAATACAAAAAAATGATGCCGCTGTCAGCTAGTCCACGTGGACTGATGAATTGGCGGTTCGTATTGGATAATTCCTACTAACCGAGTTTTATGATTGGCTGAAGGGTCATGAAATTGAATTTGAAGTTATGTTACGGTGACGAATAGAAATCGGAGAATGTGGAGATGGTTATCGCCATCGTGTTCAGTTCAGGAACTGATCGCGATTTAAGTGTTGACATTTGATATTGGTGCAGTTATGATTGAAAAAAATTTTTGTTATCTGTTCAAAATGTGGCGTCCTTGGACAAGTACTAATAGTAATAACGGGTGTGATAATAACACAGACTTTTTCAAGTGTAGTGATTCCAATAGCAATGTTGAACAATGCGAAAAAGAGATACCAGCATTTGAATACTGAAATACAGAGAGTATGTTTCAATGTATATGATAATCTACATCTCAAGTTTGGTTTCGAGGGAAAACACTATTACAAGCAACATCAGATTTGACCGAAATTCTTTTCTCAACTATACGAGAAATAGTCAAAAACAAACCTTATGAACGCAAGACGCGATGTGATACGGGATTACCAAAACCTTTAGGTGTTCATGTAATAAAATCATTGAAAAAAAAACAATATACGACTGTTACAAAAGCAATGAACTACCAACAATTGAAATCATAAGGAAGAAATTGAATACTTCCTGCCAAAACGTGAGATGCTTTGACAAAACTCTTCAGAATTGGATGAAGAAACTAGGATTTGAATTAAAAATAATAAACAAACGTCAAGCAGTTATGGAAAGCAGAAGAATAATGGAATTGCGTAACAAATACTTAGAACAAATAACTAAATATAGACAAGAACAAATGCAAATTTTCTACTTGGACGAAACTTGGTATGACACTCATGACACAGTTACCAAATGGTGGACTGATGGTTCGAGAATGTGTACGCCTAGCATGCCTGCTAGCAAAGGATCGCGGTTAATCATTGTGCATTGCGGAAGAAGTGAACTATGGGTTCCGAATTCTTTGAAATTATGTGGAAGAAGACTTGAGGACTGCAACTTTGACTATTATAAGAAGACTATTATAAGCTAATATTTTCGAGAAATGGTTTGAAAACACATATATCCCAAATTTTGATGCGAATAGTGTAATAGTTCTTGTCAACGCTTCCTATCATTCGCGACGGCTCATCAATGTACCGAATAAAAATTCGAGGAAAGATGAAATATAAAGTTTTTTAATGGATAACAATTTNAATCTCTTATGAAAGAGAAGATTGGACGGCTACTGATTTCAAAATTTCCCTAGATATAATTCGAACGCATTTAAGTGATATACACACTTTGAGACTAGCATTTTTCGTTTCATAAGTCACCATTACTTCATCTACTTATGATTATTTTTGAGGTGTGCTACTTCAAAAGGTTGTTTAAATTGCTCAAATTTCTCTTCAGCTCGTTATACAATACCTCTCGTCTCCAGCAATCTACTCTCAGCTGCTATCAGCGGCTGAATGCATTTTCCTTCGACTTTTCCACCGCATTTTCATGCAAAACAACGCAGACGAGTCTCCGGCAAAACGTCTAGAATCAATTATAATCCATTTTTTGCATCGTCGTGTAGGCCTGACAAGAAAAGCAATTTGAATCTTGCCTCCATAGGAAAGTTTAAAATTGATTTACTTGTTTTTCCACTTTAGCAATCAATCTTTCCCAGGTCAACAGTAATTGATCGATCTTTATAAATTAGATTTCATTCGCGCCTTCTCCTTTACATAATATTCGTCGATTTTTTTTGAAAAAGAAGAGTTGATGACACTGCAGAAATCATTCATCAATAGGGCTTCGCGAAACAATGGAAAGGAGGGATATTACTTGACATTGAATTGGCTATCGTCAGAAATTAATTGTTGAACAACGGAGTGATATAAAGAAAGAAGTTTCTCGTGACTGGGGTTGTAAAAGTGAGAAAGATTTCAACAGGTTTATATCATAATCTTTAACACCCCGATCTATCAGGTTATTCAAGTGTTTGGTTAGATACATTACTCTCGAACCAGTCCTAACAAATTTGAGGTTATGGTCTAAGAGCCCTTGAATGTCAAACCTTTGTTTATCGAAAACTAAGAGTTTCTTGAAGTATGGTCCAACATAGGTGAGAAACGATAGTCTACTTTTGAATCATCGTGGCTTTGACAGGTGACAGGTGACAGGTAGAAAAGGTGTAAACACTCTTCACTGAATTTTCTTGAACTTTATTGAATGCTAATTGTACTAACGTTTCTGAGATTTTACTAAACAATTTATCAAACCGCGACATGAGTCTCACTATAAAATAGATTCTTCAGGCGTTATCATAGTTTCTTGATTGTAACTACTTCATGCTTTTTATAAATCAGTGATTTCAATTATATGCCTTTTTCTACCTAGTTGATGACTTATAATTCAGCCCGAGTTCAGGTATGAACTAGGTATCAATTTGAATAATAGAAAAACATTTTAGAAACTCACTGCAGAAGCCTCTTCGTCCAAGCAAATGAGTTAAAAAGATTTTAGGTCAACAAGGAGTTTTTTTTAATGAGATTCGATTCTATTATTCAATATATTCGATACTATTTTCATAATACGATTTGTCTTCAGCCTCAAAATAGGCCTCAGTTTCGACGATTACCTCCTCATCAGTGCTGGCCTCCAGCGACGAAAAAGTCGCTGAAGGTCAGCACACGGTGGACATGGAAGCAATTTGAGGCCCAAATCATGCAATTTTGCATGAGACCGTTTTTTCTACAAACGCTCCAATAACGTTGAGTAATTGTTGCGGATGATGGTCTTCCCTTTTTCAAGATAGTCCATGAATAGTATATTATGCGCATCCCAAAATACTGATACCATAACCTTGCCAACCGACTGATGCGTCTTTGTACGCTTTGGAGTCGTTCCACCAGATGCAGTCCTCTCAGATGACGATCATTTTGATTTTGGTGTGGGAAGATGGAGCCATGTTTCATCCATTGTCACATATCAACGCAATAATTCGGGTTTTTCATGGTGGAACAGCTCCACATACTGCTCAAACTTTCAAACTAAGTAAATGAAAGAGAAAACTAGACGGCTACTGACTTTAGAATTTCCTCCCATATAATTTGAAAGCATTTGAGTGAAAAAATGATACACACTTCGAAAATATCATATTTCATTCCATAAGTCTGTCTCACCATGAGAAGAAGATACATTTTCCTTTCTCGAAAAATAAATCCAGCATTTAAGTTAGCGCCCTCTCCCACATCCAAGCCCGAAATCCTCAAATCCCCAAGATAAAAATCTCGCAACTCCTGTATAATATCCCGTCATACCATAATCCAGCTGAAATATGTATTTTTCTGCAGGTATCATCGCCCTGAAGGACGTCTCAGTTGTGATACCTCCCGCAGTGAGAATTATGGATACAGTGACGCTCCAGTGCGACTACGACCTGGAAGGGGAGCCCCTCTACACCTTCAAGTGGTATAAGGGCACGAAGGAGTTCTACAGATTTATTCCGAAGGAGCTTCCCAATACGCAAGTGTTCCCCCTACCTGGGATCAATGTCGATGTAAGTTGTATGAAAGGTGTTCGGCGGGTTCACGTTGAAGCTCCCTTTAACACTTCTGCCGGGGTTTTCAAAGCCAGTAGGGTGTTTTTTGTTGGGGTTTATTTTATCTAGAGTGGATAAGAGTCGGACTTCGATTGTATATGGAGTTAGGAGGGGAATAAATATAAAAGTCGGTCGCTGTGGAGTTGGAGTTGACATTGCAGGATGATAAAATCGACTGTATCTTTTTGCTGATTGTGCAAAGCACCCCTTCGTGAGAAGGCTTTTTCATTTTGTTCAGGAAGTTGCAAATACTCCTGATTTTACCCCTGAATATACAGTGTGTCAACTTGAAAACTTCCCACCCTCAATATCTTCCATCCAGTAAACAATATGGGGAATCGAAAAAACAGGTCAATTTTATTGTCAAGGGGGACATTTTCAAGGACTAGTTGTAGCCTTTGTGATTTAACCTCCTAGGAGGAGTGAATGTTACCCTTAGAATTTTGAATGAGAATGGGGGTAAAGTGGCACATCATTTTGATTGGCGTTCATTTCTGCTTCCAATTAAACCCTGACGTTTAATTTTTTATGAGCAGTTTTAGAAAAATAGCGTTCTGAACTAACACATGTAATTAGAATCTGCATGTTCTAAGATGTATAATTGTATTGACGCCTTTTAGTAAAAATGGTCAGAAGAAATGTATAGAATGTAATCGAGTTAGAAGGCAAGAAAACTTGAATATTGCTCGAAATCACGTTGAAATTAATTAATACTTGAAATATATCAATACTAGTATTTCTGGTATTAAGGGCACTTGAATCAAAGCGTTCGCAGTTTATTCCACATACACACAGTTCTCCGAATGAAAGATTTCTCGAGCAGTGAAGTTTGAAGTGTATTGAGTTGAACCTTAAAACGATGAGCAGCCACAGTTCGTCGCATATTTCTGATATGTACTGTTCTTGTTGGAATCAAATGTGCCAAGTTACTTGAACACCTTACGTGGAAGTATATTTAAAGGAGAGACAAATCTCCACCCTTTCTTCGATGTTCAATACAATGAACGTTGCAAGTGATATTTGTGTCTCCACATATTTGTGCATTTGGGAAGTGACTGTGTGACTGTGTGGCTCATCGGTATCCAACTATTGTCTTAAACGTCTCCTTTTTGAGCTATTTGACTGTTCTAATACGTTTTAAACCACCAAGAACCACATGGAAGCTGACGCCCAGTTCTTCCACTATCCCTAACACCGTTTGTGATAGATCAGGGTTCTCAAATTCTCGTTCCAGATTACTGTAGGTCAACCACTTTGAGGATCATCTTCGAAGCTGAAATCTCTGCGTTTATTAACACTATTATTGCCAAATGCCTTTGGTTTACTTCGATTCGTAAAATAAATTTGCCTAACGGCATCATACGAACAGCTTCAATGTATAGACTATACAATTCTCAAACAAACAATATATACAACGACATTTTTACTGAGATATGGAGCTACAAAAACATATGACATTGAAACGGACAAATCTTTTGAAGCAACCTAATACAAATAAGGAAATTATAATAGAAATTTGAATAAAAATATGGCATTTACATTCCATTATTTTTCAGCTCACCAAGAGTACTCCCAATAAGTTGGTTCTGAAAAACGTACAAGCTGAAGCAACAGGACGATACAAATGTGAAGTGTCTTCGGATGCACCCAACTTTTATACCTTTATGCAGTCGGGGTACATGTATGTTATCGGTAAGTTGATCGAAACACTACAAATCTAATTGCCTGAATATTATGTTATCATCATGCAGTATCATCCGGTGAACTTGGTATTTGCAAAATATAGCTTATATGATGGTTTTCGTGAGATATCTGCTAATATATATAAATTATGTGTCACGTTGTTTGTCCGCGATGGACTCCTAAAATTCTTAACCAATTTCAATCAAATTTGCACACCGTGTGTAGTTTGATCCAACTCGAAAGATAGGATAGCTACATCTCAATTTATAGTCGCAATATTATTTGATTGCAAATTATTTGTCTATTATTTGACATTCAGAACTAAAGTCACTTAGTTAGGGAAGCTATGGATTATGCTGTAGACGACCCCTCCCGATATAGAAGGCCCCAACACTCTGTCCTAAACCAAGATGGCTGTCGGTAAATAAGTCTCAAAGCCAAACATTTTGTTCATGTTCATTTGTGCTTTAGATTTGGAAAATCTATGTTTTTCTCATGGGCAACTATATGTTGTATGTTCACGTGTAGGAAAACCGTCGAATCTATTTGTGTTAGCTGAAGACAGGTTGACCAAAAATATTGTGCACCGGTTAGTGCCAAATTAAATTGAAATTAAAAGTATTTATAATTCAAAATAGTAAAAATAACTGTTGAAGATTTAGGACTATCTGCACTACCTACCTCATTCATAAGTTTAGGAGTCACATGTTATTTACTAACAACTTTGTAATATACCCATTTGTTACAAAATTGAATAAAAATAATAATGAATTTCAAAATTAATTCTTTTGTATTGATTTTTGCTTAATATCAACTGTACGAAAATGTTAATCAATCGTGTTCAGAATCCCAATCCAGTTGATTTTCATACCAGCTGTAACGGTTTCGTCTTCGTTCGTAAATAATAATTTCATTGTACTTAGGAGTTACCGAAGTAGACAAACTGTCATGGAGGTCGCCATATTTTTTTACAAATGGCATCTATGTAAAAAAGCATAGAAAATAGTTTACTACAATGTAATATTACAAGAAACCTGAGCCATAGCAACGCGTGGCCGGGTCTGCTAGTAATAATGTATAAATTATCGTCATTTTGATGACGCTTGTTATTCGACGTCATATATACATTTTTCTCTCGATCAAAATATCTGATAGAATATCGAACTTCATGAATATGGTTCATATCAAATAATTTTCTGCGAGAACGTCAATGAATATTTGAAATGAACGTTATTGGTAATTCGAAATGACGTTATCATGGATAAATTTGAAAAACATCATTTCGAAAATGTAAAAAATATGACTGCAATCTTTTGGAATGCTACTTTTTTCAGGGTTGAAATAATTGGTGAAACACTAGAACATCATAAATATATCAAACATCCAATGATATTTTCAGAACTGACTAGCATGTCTATTTTGTTTTTATTAAAAAATCTGTTATTCTACTGATGATATTTTGCATTATTACAAATATATTTTTGTTGAATAATTGTTGATGGAAGTTATTACTATTTCAAAATGGTGTCGATTCAAGGCCATATGGATTACAGTTTTGTATTTCTAGGAACAGGACCGTAAAATTACAGTGAAATAATAATAAGCAATCATTGAAAATTGAACAATTGAAATTGAAATTGAAAAATTTCAAACCAAGTAACATCACGACGTTTCGATTTTTAGTATACACAATCGTTTTCAGGCGATGACTGCACTATTTCTCCGAAAAATGACTACTTACAGGTCTCTTTTCCTTTTCTCAACTTNATTAATGAATTAGTTTTGTTTATTACCCTTTGATCGTTTAATGCAGGTACTAACTACAAAATAACAATAAATCCAGTTCGCATTTATGACGATGTATCTCAGAAGTTGTTCGTAAAATAATTTTTTGCTGCGAACTGGTTTATTTTGGGCAAAAAACCATAGAGATATTTTTTGTTTAGAATGAAACAGGCTATAGGAAATAAAGTTTTAAATGGTAAACAAATAATAATTTAAAAAGTTACATTGGAAATACATTTTAGGGGTTGCGTTTTCCACCCCTTACAACCATGAGGTAAACCAAATAAATTACTGGCTAAGTTTTTTTTGGTAGTACAAAACGTCAGGTTAATTTCAATATTGTCACTTTTTCAGTGCTTGTGAAGAAAATTGTTATACCAATTTTATATTCCCCCTTCAAGGGGCTGTATCCTAACAAGGGATGCTCCAATGAAGTTTCTTTATTCGAAAGATCCTATCTTTTTTTCAATGAGGAATCACCTCCTTAAATGTTACACCCAGTATTGGAAAAATTTAAATTTGGCCTTCCTCTTAGTACGAGACATATTCGACATATTATGTCGTAAAGGTATCTTTTTTCCCTGTAGCAAGATTGCCGTTACTCGCTCACTGGCAAATAATGGTTCTTACAGTTTCCCTTTCCTTTTTACTTTCATTTTTTGTTTTTTGCACTCTGTTGCTCATTTTCTGAATTTTATCACTATTCCAGCTTTCACTTATCCCTTCTTTCCTCTCTCCGCTTCACCGGTTTGGCGGGAGTTGACCATTTACGTGGCCGTTTTCCCGTTCAATTACAGGTTTCCATATGTTGCGTGCCTCTACGCTAGCTCGGCTGAATGCATCGTTGGACATACATGCATTTTCTTTAAACTTCCTCTTGAACCAGTGTTCCATCCTATGGATGACCTCATCTTGGGACCACTTGATGTTATGCTGATGACTACAAACATGTTCTGTCATTTCTGATTTGCTTGTTTCTTCTTGCTGTGTGTTTCTCTTGTGCTCGGCAATGCGGGTTTCCAATGGCCGTTAAGTTTCACTTATTTTCAAGCGGATTAGGATCACTCATTCACGTCGTAATAATTTGCCTAAATAGTTCGTTTTTTCTACTTTGGCAGGTTTGGCATATAACTCAGCAGTGAATATGTTTTGGGTTTCATCATGATGTTATTAAAGCTGTTCTTCTTATATTTCATGACTTCTAACCTCATTTAAGGTTGTACCAGTTTCCAAGGTGCAATTTCGTGCAAGGTTCTGAGAACGCTGGGAAATTCCATAGCCAAGTTGACTCGTAATAGTTTGCTTCGAATTCTAACTGGCCGAATAATTGATTTAGCAATCATGAAATTGATTGAGGTATACTGGGTTATTTCTAAAATAAGACCCACCAATCCCCCTCCACACTTCAATTCAGCTTCGAACAAAGATGTTGTTTCAAAGTTTTTCAATTTGGAGTACGTTTGGAATCAATACACACCTGCCTCTTTATTATTCACCTTGGAGAGAAATTTCTTATCTAACCTCCGACATCAGGGATATTTTTCATTTTCGTTATGTAAATTGAGTTTCATAACTTTCCCTGGTTTTTTCAGCTTGCGGGTTAATGAAATCTCGTGAAATTCAGGTTTTTCATTTTCGGTCCTCATTTGAGTGGGATTTATCATTTATATTACCGAATTTCATGTGATTCGTTTCATAAAAAATTTGAATGAGTTTGTTATATCCTACGTTCTATTAAAAACGCTTCCCCAACACCAGAACAAAAATCACGGTATCTACACGCGCGTTTCACTACCCAAAATACCGTCCTCAGGAGATCATTGTGACTGGGCAGTCATAATGGTTGAGTAGCGAATTTTCGGAACGAATCATCATTTTAGAAAAATCGTGAGGTACTGAGAAATGTACTTATATAATCGTCTCAACTAGAAAGTTTATTGAAAGCGAGTTTCAACCAGAGATATTTTTCGAAGGAATGAAGGAAAATACGCAGTTCTCTGAATGGAACAGTCTCAAAACAGTGAAGTTCGAGGTGTACTGAGATGAACCTCAAAACGATGACCAGCCACAGAACGTCGAGAATTTCTGATATGTACCGCTCTTGGGGGAATGAAATGGAACAAGTCACTTGAACACCACCCATGAGAGTATTTATAAAAGAGAGATAAATCTCCAACCTTCCTTTGATGTTCCAGACTATGGTGTTGTTCGTATTATCAATCAAGTGGATGGAAGCTTCAGGGTATGTTTGGGGACAGAGCTCCATACATGAGAACATTACTTCAAAGAAGGTCTGATCTGAGCTTCATGAGGCATCGAGAAATGCTGAATTTAGTACAGTTGTCTGGTTTGGAACAGTATTCCAAGCTTTGAAGAAGCAGCCTTAGTAGTTCCAGCGATATGTTTGTGCCAAGACATGTTGGTGTCCATTTCAACCCCCAACAAACTTATCGAAGCAGAAAACGGAATTGTTTGTCCTGACATTATTTTACCTTTCTGGAGAAAATTAATGTCTAGGTTTTCGAGGCAATGATTTGAACCTGATTATTTTCTAGATTCTCATAAAGATATGCAACCTCCTGCTGCCGGTGAAGATGTGCATCCGCAGCCGATGTCCTGAAATCCAAACGGAATGACGAGACAAGTGTGCTGTCGTCAGCAAGACAATATATTTGATTCTTGGTTTTTTCCAATGAATAAGTCGTTGATATGCAATAATAATAATAGGGGAGTCCAAGCGGGGATTTCGGGATTTACTAAAGCGCGGCAGATTATTACACAGTGGGATACCTTGTACCCGGTTAAGTACCTTCACCAAATATGAGATTTGTAAAAAAAATTGATCATCAGAAATTCTCGAGCGCGTCAGATTAAGGTAGGGTAAGTTAATTACATGCTGAAAAGTGTATATTCCAGTAATCTGACAATTTGAGAGTTAGGTAAAGAAACGGGAGGGCAGCAAAGTTATAAAAAAATAACGTCATTACGACATTCGCGGGCGTAGCTAATTTTTTTTTATTTTGAAGGAAATGATTCAAGGATAACGAAAAATATATAATCTGACGATTTACGCAAGCTGAAATATAAAAATTCGTCGATAAAGTTTAATGCGTGCATTAAACTCTCCTCTTTTGCTATCTATTACTCTCTCACTTCGTCTCCACTATGAATTTTGTTGCCATAACGCCATCACAGCTGATCACAGAGACTCGTTCATGATGAAG